AACAGCAGCCGCCGCCGGCGGGGCCGCAGCAGCCGCAGAGCCGGAGGTCGCCCGTCAGCCCGCAGCTGCAGCAGCAGCACCAGGCGGCCGCAGCCGCTTTCCTGCAGCAGAGGAACTCGTACAACCACCACCAGGTACGGTCCGGCGGGAGGCGGTGGGGCAGAAGCCCGCCGCCCCCTCGAGCGGCCAGCGCTGGGGCATGGCGGCGGACCCGGGGCCAGGACAGTGAGCTCGGGTGGGCAAACGGAGAGAGGTTGACTGGGGCAACTCCGTCCCAGGCATGCCCGGAGCGGACCGGAGCCGAGGCTGGTCCCTTCTGGAGTTTGTTCGGTGCAGCACTGGGAAAGCCCAGGCGGCACCTGCAGCCGCACCCCGGGACTGTCACCGGCAGGGAGGAACTGTCAGGCGGCGCGCGGCTCTCGGCCGCGGGGCTAGGGGTGCCCTAGGTGTCTGCTCTTTTTAGTATTTGTTTCTTCTTGTGGGTTTGAAGACCAAGGCACCCTTGGAACTAGGATTAACGTGTTTCCTCCTAGACGTCTCCACATGGGCTGGTGTACCGGGATCATGGGGGTTTGTGGCTTTAGGAAATGACACCCAGGCAGGCTCTTCGCGCTAGTCCGTGCTCTAGACTCAGGGTTTTTTCTGTTATTGCTCTCCCCCCGACCCCACCCAGGGCAGATTTTGGGTGGCCACTGAATTCGTTGATGTTGAGAGTTTTGTTGCTGTTTAATGGAATTAGCATTTATTATGGAGATCATTCGAAGTTCAATGTCAAGATAGAGGATTGTCATGGAACCAAAATTTGACTTTAACCGGTTCTTACTTCTCAAACTTCTGTTGACCAAAGTTTTCAAAAGTGAATGCTGTTTAAATTAACCAGAGTATCAGCTAACAGTTAATCGAAATTAACCCAAGTAGAAGTTAACAGTTTTGTCGAATCACTATTTTCTCCCCAAGAAGGGGGGATGTGACCTATAAGGAAGGAAAATACCGACTTTTGAAGTAATACTCCATTTCCCATGGCTTATATGATCTTGAGTAACTGTCTTTAGTGTGTCAGGCTCTTCATTTTTTTAACTGGAAGTTTGCCGCGGAAATTTATACACAATTTTAAATTTCCAAAGTCAAAATAGAACGTTATCAGGATGTGTGTCGTGATTCATATTTTAACTGCAATATGCGCCAATAAACAAAAAGAAATGGGTCTTACCTCGGAGTGTAAGAGGTCACATGGCTTTCACATGGAATTTTAGGTCATTGGAAAAGAACTTTGAACTGTGAGTCATTTGGTAGGCAAAACAAGGCTACTGCATGGGGTAGCTCTGCTGTGACTCCTTGGTTGTGCTTTGCAGCTGTGTGGAAGGAGACAGAGGCTTTCTATGTTCACGGTTTTCAGCGTTTCAAATCTTGCAGTAACACCCATAGGTACTGGATGTCAAGTTTTTAAATTTTTGTAAAAGAAAAACATTTAATTTTAGGATTACAATATTTACTGAGTTTTAGAAATGACGTGGTTTATGTTTTCACTGCCTAAATCTTAGCAGAAAAAATGTTAGTTTTGGCTTATTAATAGAAATACTAGCAATTCATAGTTTTCTTTTTGAAAAAAGGTGTTATGTCTTGTGAATTTTCCATTTTTTGATGACTTTTCTCGCCATAGGTTCTAGATGGGAATATATTTTGCTTTTGAATGTCAATGAACTTAAGAGACTTACATTAAGATTATCAAGAATAAGCAAAGCCTGTGGTTGTTTATTGTATATCTCAGTGGATCCACCTATAGGCCGCATCAGATAATTGCTTTAACAGTTCACGGATAATTTAACTTAATTAAAGAAATATTGAAAGAAAACAAGAATAAAATACCATAAACGTTGAAGTAACAGTTCAGGAAAATTAATTTCTTCCTGGACCCACCTGTCCTTGAAAGGCATGTTCATTCAGTTCCTGCTGAATGTTACCTCTGTTGGTTTGTTCAGAGGAGCCCAAGCTGTTTGGAAGCCTAAGATCTAAAAATTTTGCTCTCATAGCTGAAATAATTAAGACCATTTAACTAATACTAATTTAACTAGTATTCATAGAATATAGGTTGCTTTCAGGTTCTTCAAAGTTCACTTCAGCTTTGAAGAGTGTTTTAGTAATGTCATGAGACATCACTATTTATTGTAGATAGGGGTGAAAACTTCCCGAACACTAAGTAGATAGGATCTCAACTAGGAACACTTTTCTTGTAAACCCTTAGGAAATACTCTGGCTTAGGAGAAATGTTGGCTTTTGTGTTTCATTTTTTATGATTTTTTTGTTTTATTTCTTATTAAATTCTTAGCTTAGTTCTAAAATTTGAATTTGAATGCTAAGCTCTCCAAGGCCTGTCATTGAAATAGCTGTGTTTTCCTCAGCCTCTTCTGAAACAATCTCCTTGGAGCAACCATCAGAGCAGTGGCTGGGGCACCGCGAGCATGTCCTGGGGAGCACTGCATGGCAGAGATCACCGTAGAAGTGGAAACATGGGAATTCCAGGGACTATGAATCAGATATCTCCACTGAAGAAACCATTTTCTGGTAATGTTATAGCACCACCGAAATTTACTCGCTCTACACCATCACTGACTCCAAAGTCTTGGATTGAAGATAATGTGTTCAGGACAGACAACAATAGTAACACACTCTTACCCTTACAGGTAAGAATGGTATGTAAATGTCCTTATTCCTAATGCCTATCTTTCGAATAGGAAGTGGGGTGGTGGAGGCAGCAATGGCAGTATAGGAAGATTAACAGAATTAAAGATAAACAAAATTTAAGCATATCATTTAATTATTAAAGGGTAAAACACAGAGAAAACAGAGATACAAGAATTTCTCTGTAAACAAGCAATGAATGGAAATAAGCTTCCAAACATTTAAAAAAAAATGTTTCTTCCATTACAGTTTGAAGCCTTTAAGTGGCAATTCCTTAAAAATGTCTAAGTTAGTTGTTTCTTAATAGACAACCAACTTTTGCCTTTCTGAGAATATAAGCTAAAGCATTCTGTTACTAGTTGTACATAGGTTTGTCTGTGGTAAGCTGTTTACATATTAGAATGTTCTTCATACAACTGAGATCGAGCCACAGTAATATTAAGGCCCGTTGAATATAATTCAAATTGCCTTCACTGGGTTCAGTGACTATAAATATATACATATATATGTATGTATGTATAATTTTCCCCACTAACTGTGGCCTAACATTAATGGAGATGGTTTTTTTCCAGGCCTGTTTAATATTTTGTGACTGTAGTAAATGAAGTTTAATTTTCATCAAAACCTTTAAAAGATGAAACAGAAATTTAAGAAAGAAAGAACTTTGATTGTTTTTCGTTTCTATCTCTGTGTTTTGGTTTTTGGTTTTTCTTGGGTGGGATGGGGAAGAGAACTGCTCATTTCTGATGCAAACTTCTATGCTATTGAAGGTGAGATCTAGTTTGCAGTTGCCAGCTTGGGGCTCAGATTCACTCCAAGATAGTTGGTGCACTGCAGCCGGAACATCCAGAATAGACCAGGTAGGCTGCACAGTGTGTGCTTCTCAGGGTCCTGGCCAGGAGTGTAGTGTTTACATTATGAATGCGAGTGATCATTTGCTTTTCAATTATATTAGCATATGCCAAAGATTATTAAAAATAATTTAGTTTTTTAAATATCTCAATTTAAATTCTTAATCCATTTATTTTCAAATTTAAAAGATTTGTATTCATATTTTGAAATCATAAAAAAATTGGTTTTGATTACAATGAATTAATCATGTATCTAAGAGCACCTGACTTTAAACATCAGTCAAACTGAATAGGTACTGTCTTCCTTTCAGAATTATCCGCAATTAAAATACAAACTCATATGTGTGTTTACCATCCAGCTTTACATTTCATGGTTTAAGAAATCTTCCAGTAAATGTTTGTCATGAACTCTGTGCATTTGTTTTGAGATCTGCCTCTGAATAACTCCTGTTTTAATTTAGGGTTTTTTTTACCTTTATAAAAATAAACTTTTGTGGTGTAGTATTTTTATTCTAAATTTTGTTCTAAAATATCTTCAAGATCTTTGTGATTTAAAAATGCTGTCTATCTTTCTGCAGACTGAATTTGAATGTATACTGGTACGAGGTCATGAGGATTATTATGTGAGGACATAAAAACCTCAGTCCTTTTATATGAGGAGATTTTTTTATAGATCTCAAGTTTGACCTTTGTTTTGAGATTTTGTAAGTTAAGTGAGTGGAGCTATATAATCTATAGCTAAGGCACTTCAAGTAATTTATCAGCTTGAACTGATTTTTTTAAAGATTGTATAGGCAGATTAATAACAGCACATTTTATAAATAACATCCTAATCTGGGGGACTAGCACTAACTTGAATAATCGGTCATTAGCTGTTGTTTTAGAAAAATCCTGAGTATTTATTTATCAAAGTTGTCCTGCCAGGATCTCAACATAGGAATGGTAGTTATCTTGTGTTTAGCTTCTTATCTTGTTAATGTAAGCTTCCCACTCATCCATTTGTATTCTCTTTCTCATTCTGTCCCAGTTCACCTGTATTCTGGTAGCAGTGTCATATTGTTCAGACTGAATCCATGATTGCTTAAAAATAGTTTGGTTGGGGAGAGATAGATGATTGCGGTTATTTTGAAGGTGAAAAGGAAAATATTTTCAGAGAGGAATGATCATAATTATTGAAAGTGTAAGCACAAAAACAGTGGCCCTGTATGACACAGCAGCCTTTGTGTTTGTGGGGTGGGTGGGGCCTAAAGTTGAGTTGAGCTGTAGCCACTAGAGTAGATAAAGGTGAAGGTAAAGGGGCCGTTAAGACGCAGTTCTGGGACTAACAGGACTACAGTGCTTTACTCTTCCTACTTCAACTTCAAAGCCACTCTACCTTTGCCCGTTTAATAACTTAGGATGTTAGGTAGAATTTTTTTTTCCAAAAAAATTTTATATATAAAACTTTTTATATGTTTATATATACTTTCTGGTAAACTGCTGAGTAATTAGTATCTGTGCAGAAGTGTGATGTGACAGTGGATAAAAATAGGTGATAGAAATTGGACTGGACTGGAATTCCAAAACTGGAATCATCATCCTCATTGCATTCTTTCCCACAGGATATGGGTTTTCATCTCTTGGTCATAGCCTCATCAATAAAGAAGGATCTTGATGAACAATGTCATGTAAAGCCTTTGCTGCCCAGGCCTTTTACATTCTCTGCTCTGTTTTGCCATTTCTTTTCCTCTCTGGTCTCACAGTCCTCCAGTCCCCAGGCTAAACTGAGAGACTTAGGACCCATGGGGGAGGGTAGAGTACATATGACCTCTTTGCTGCCTTTAAGTGATCAGATGATCTTTATTATACCTTCTGTTATGTTTCCATCTTTCCATAAAAGCTTGTGGCATTTGGAATCCTAAAAACACAAGGGCAGCCATGTAAACTGGTAGCATAAAATATAGACTATTTGGCAAAATTAAAATAGTTAAAATGCTTAATCATTTAAATAGTTTGAGATTTTATTTTGTGATTTTAGAAATTTTAATATTAGCAATTTTTGTTAACAAGTATATTATTTTAAACCATTTAACTTTAGTTTATGGTTTATATTAACTTCAGTCTAAAATGAAACAAGTCTACAATCTAATAAGTTACAGAACTAACATCTTCATTCAGGATACTTCAGACATGACCTACACCAAGATCTGGACTTGCAATTAAATTCAGCAAATGGGAAAAATATTTTCATAGGTTAATTTATTTCATTTGTGTCAAGTAAAATTTTATAATTTGGTTATTTTTTATTTTCAATATTTTTATGGAAAAATGTCAAATTTAAAACATTTTAAATCACGATGTACATTCCTGACTTTAAAAAGAGCTATCAGGGTTTATGTAATGCATGTGTGTGTATGTATCTGTGTGCAGGTGTGTGTCACATGGAGATGAGGATGGTAGAGGATGGCAGGTGTCATCCTTCAGGACTGCTGTCCACCTCCTCTGAGACAGGACCTTTCATTGGCCTGGAGCTCACCATTAGACAAAGGCAAGGTTTTCTGGCCAATGAGTCTCATGGATCCACCTGTCTCTACCTCAGTAACCCTGAGATCCAAGAACTCTCCACCATGCATGGCTTTTGAGGTCATTGCCCCATGCTTGTGAGGCATGTACCTTACCATTGAACTGCCTGCCCAGCCCCCTAGTAATGTTCCTACTAATCTCTCATAAACTACATGTTCTTTTTTGTTTTTTTCTTTGCCCTTGGGACTAGGATCTTACTTTGTAGCTGAGGCCGATCTCAACTTTGGGATGTCCCTGCTTCTATCTCTTGAGAACTGAAACTATTAGGTGTGTCCAAAATTTATTAATCTGAAAATGCTCTTAGCATTTAGTAAGAAATAATGCTCAAAACTGTTATTGATTTCCTCAAAATAGAATTTTCCATGAGACATTTAAGAAAATCACAGTGTGTTGATTTGTGGATACTTAGATGTTTTAAATCAATTTCAATTTCCTTTTAAGTTAGGTTGTTTACCACTTATGTTTTTATATGTGGCACTTCTGCAGTATGCCCTGAGAAACCTATCAATACATGTTGTCTTCTACTCTCTGGGCAGTTTTCAATGTTTTCAGTGCAGGATATTTGCTTTATATTATGGAAACTACCTTGAACTAGTTGGAGATATGTTTTGTCAGTCAAAGATCCAAACTAATATAAAGTAAAAAATCACATTTCGAAGATATTCTTCAGGAAAATATGTCACTTGACTCTTTCATGGGTCTGTCTCCCTAAGAAGTAGAGTGTGGTAGAAAAGCAAGGCCAGCATGTCATGAGCCTGAACTTCGGGAGTGTAGGATCTCTACACTTACACACAGCTGAAAGTCAAGAAGCACTTTTGTTTGAGTAGTGGGTGCTTTGCCCGGGTATTTAGTGTCTTAGCCTCAGTCCTTTAAGTGTTTTTGAATATTATCTGTCTACCCTTTCATAAGTGCTTATGGCAAACATACGGGTACAGAAAAATAGTCAGATAAGCAGTAGACTTTCAGAGGCTACTATCGTTTTCCATTTCTTCTGTTTTTTTCTTGTTACTGTAGGACTCTTATCTCATTTCCTTAAAACTCCAATTAATTGATCACCAGATGACTTTAATATTTTAGACTACGTTGTATATGAGCTTTTCCTCAGTTTGATTTTTCTGAAATGTCTTAGTAATTTTCAAGCAGCCATGTAATAGTGAAACTAACATGATCTTTTATATTTGTTAGTATGTCAGGACTGTGTGTTCATCTTTATTTCTAAATTGCCTCAAATCTTCCTTATAGTTTTAAACTGATAACAATTTAGATGAGTAAATCTGTTCCTAATATCCTTACTTTAGAAGAGCACATTTGTTTTATAGCACAATATGAATCATTAAATAAAATTTGTTTTAAACTTTGTGTTTAAAAGATAGTTAGGAATTGTAGAATGTTTTCTTCTAAATATTTAGAGTATAGAACATAAAATATTTTAAGTACTTATACTCTTAGAGAATACACAGTACATCATAAGAGTATTAATGTTTAATGTTTGTTTTGAAAGTTTTTTTATTAACCCTAATTGCAATATACTTAAGAACTTGAATATTACAATAGTCTTCCATTGAATAGCTAGAAATTCATCTGATAACAAATCTATTTTAGTATCTTATACTTGTTCCAGTTTAGTCAATTAGCAGATTCTGTAGAGGAGTCTAAGATCGAGTACTTTATAATTACCATCTTAATAGTAGTCTTTACACTCATACAGCTCAACTTACACGTTTTATAGAGATTTTTATGGTACTGATAAAGGGGTATTCATTTTACAGACATTTGCAAGCTAGATGTGTGTGATTAGAAGGACCCTAGCCTTAATTACTTTAGAAGATAGTGGAAGAATCCAGGAACTGCGCACACTGCCGAGCAGAAAGAGAGATGGTAATGGAGGCGTTAGTAAGCACGTAGGTCTTGTTTGCACAAAGGCCATCCTCTTCTCACGGCCACCTTATGCCATTTGCTGTAACAATACTTTAGGTCTATGAGTTCAAGTGCTCTATAGGCGTTGTTAAGTCTGACTTGGTTATTTTCTAGAAGATGGAGGCAGAATAGAAAGAGGTTCCATGGTGTAGAATATCACAACGCTTATACTGTTTATACTGTGCTGGCCCGCAGCTTCACGTCCACCTAACATCTCCTTCGTCAGATGAGTTAAGATGTGGTACCAGTGTGTACTAACCTGCTTTTCACATAATTCTGCAGCATGTCGAGTTTGGGGAGCACTGCTCCTTTTCCCCGATTCTCTCCCGCTCCCCTACCAAGTTCACCTGTTCTAGTGAAGGGCGTTAGAGATAGGAATGTTGTGTGTTCAGGATCTTTCCCTTGAAGGTCAGTGAATTGGACCTCTGTAGGTGGTTGGTGATTAATTGGAGCAAGAGCCTCCTCTCTGGCAGCGTTGCCTCTTTTGGTGTAACTACTCACCCTTCCTAATTCCTTGATAGTGCCTTGTTTAGTCTACAATGCTGATCCTGGCCCCTGGCTTTAAAAAGCATACAACCCTAGTTAGACATCAAAGAAGAAGAAATAAACAAACCTTAGGTTTTTCTTTAGCTCTCGAAAGACCTAGTTCTGAATATTTTCTGGTTGTTGGTTCCTTTGGGAAATCATGAGGGCTATAAACCATTTCTTAATGAAATAATAGATGTAAATGTCTATGGGTGCATATGATCCTAGAGACTGCTGGTATAACTTGAATCATGTGGTTCCAGGTTAATGCTTTACTTGGATTTCTGTGGAAACTGTCAGTTTACTTTTCTGATTCTTTTCTGGTTTCCTGTGCTAATCATTTTGAGAGTTTAGATGACCTATCCCTGCTTCGAATTTGTACATTAATGCAAATAACAAGTGGGTGGGGATGGCTTTGACATATTTTGAGAAAAAACATCAGACTCTTTGGAGGGCATCAATCACAGCTTGTTCATCTAGTTTCCCTTATTAATTGCTTATTCATTGTGTTGTGTTGAGTAGAACATAATATAAATTCTTAGACATTAAAGAACTAAATGTCTTCTATAAAGCAAGGGGATTGTGTTGTCAGCAAAAAAAGCTGCTGTCAACACAGAAGGAAGTTCTCAGAGGTGGGGAAGGGGATGTGATCTGAAGTACCTCCCTGCTCCTCTCTGCTGCAGCCTTCATTTGGAGTGGAGTTTGGACACGGAGGATTACAAAAAGTGGAAGCACTTTGGAGACTGGGATTTGAATGTAAATATTTGAGGCATTCATACCTTTTCTAATATTAGTATCCTACATTTAATTTTTGTGTATAAAATGCTTACATATTCACTGTTTTGCAATTCTGATGATTAAGTCAAGTTTTAAGTGTGTGATAGATGTTTAAAGTGTGGTGCAACTGTTAAATTCATCTCAAGATGCTCATTTCCAAGTGCCAATATCTGTCTTTCTATATATGTGAGAGAAACATGAAGGAACTGAAAATGTTTTCTGTGTGTAATATATGTAAAAATGATCAGAGATTATTTCACTGCATTCAGCTAATACTCCAATAAAAATACATTAATTTTTATATATTTTAGAAATGAATGTGCTAAAAATATTGTCCCTTAATAAAAGACATTGTAGTTGACATGATAATTAAATATCAGTATTTTCTTGGGATACAAGTTAAGTAGTAATATATTGCTCAAATGTCCTGCTTTATATAAGAAAGATTATATGTTTTTAACTTTTACTTTAAAATTACATAGATCTTATATCTTTTCTTTTTCTGTCTTCCAGGATCGAAGTAGGATGTATGATAGCTTGAATATGCACTCTCTGGAAAATTCCCTTATTGATATCATGAGAGCAGAGCATGATCCTCTCAAAGGTATGTGGCAATTTACAGCATCAGTTTCATACATATATTGGTTTGTCTGCTTATGAAAAAATAGTACTTATATAAACTAACTTTCTGATATGTAAAGAAATATCATTAACATTATTTCATATGCATTATTTTCTGTCTCACGTTGTCCTTTATAGTAGTGTCTTTTATATTGCAATCTTATCACCTTGAGGAAACAGGAGTACTAGTTACCTAATGCATATAACAGGTCATCCAAACTAGCCACTCAAAACATCAGTAGTTATTGCCACACCATGTGAATATCATAGGATTTCTGTTGCTATGGTAAATCACAGTAACCAAGAGCAAAGGTTTGGGGAGAAAAGGGTTTCAGCTTAGAGCTTTTAGTCCTTTGGGGAGGAAAGTCAGGACAAGAGCACAAGACAGGGACCTGGAGGCATGAACAGCCCCAGAGACCTTGGAGTGACACTGCATACTTGCTTCTCGTCACTCGCTCAGCCTACTTTTTTATACCATCCAAGGGTGGCACTGCAGATAATGGGCCGGGCTCTCCCATATCTATCATCAGTTTTATGAATACGTTTTCTCGATTGACTCCCTCTTTCCAAGCGACTCTACTTTTTGTCAAGCTGACAAATCAGTAGCCAGCACAGTTAATGTATTGAGAATTCACTAGAATAATAATTGCTATTTCTAGCTCAGTACTTCTCATTGAGTTGGAATCATGGAATTCTTTATAAATTCTCCAGTTTTTATCCTACAAATGTAATGTTTTTTGAGACAGAGTTTCTCTGTGTAACAGCCTTAGCTATCCTTGAACTAGCTCTTTAGATCAGGCTAGCAAAAATCCACCAACCTCTGCCTCCTGAGTTCTTCCACTGCCTGGCAAATGTAATTCTTTTAGGAAATTTTGTCCTAAAAACTACAAAAACTTTTTTGTTAACAGCTAAATTGATAACAATAATCAGAGTCCTTCTCAGCTTCTGGGTTTTATACATAGGGTTTTTTTTGTCTCCCTAATCCTCACATCTTAAGGAACATGTTATTTTTGCTGATGTACACTGGTGGCTATTCCTCAAACTAATATGGTTATGTCTTTGGTTCTTCTGTTTTCTTGTGGGTGTTGTTGATCTTTTGCCTCTATTGTAAGGTTCTCTGTTTGAGGTCTTGTTCTTTTTCACAGTGAGTACTGTTTACCTTGAATCTTCCCTTTCAGAATAAAATCCACACGGGGGTGTAGTGGCATATGACTGTATACTAGCACTCATGAGACTGGGTAGCAAGACTATCTCAAAAGTAAACACACACATATAAGAAAGAAGAGAATTGTTAATAATTTACTACGAAGAATTTTTGTGCTGAATTCTGTCTTCTCTTGGAAGAAAACTCCTAGGAATTGTAAAGTAAAATCAAACTAGTTCACTGTTACCAATGAATACGAAAAGCTTTCCTTAAGATGCTGGAGGAAATGTTTGTTACCAACACTATTCATCATCTGCTTTCGAGCCTAGGCAGTTTACAGTGTAAGTAGAAGAGCATCTAGAGGGGGACCTAAAAGTAAATGAAGCAACAGAATGATGCTAAGAATAATAAGTTAAAAAATTATAAGAAATTTATATCTTTTGATAGAAAAAAAATTGACTTTGGCCCTGAAAGAGAAAGGAAAACCTAAGCCTTCAGCGACTTGTATGGATCCCCATGTTGGCCAGTTTCTAACTGGAACGTTTCATTTTCCACATGTTTTATGACAGAAAAAGAAAAAGAAAACTGAACATTTGGGAGAAATCTCCATGTAGTGTAAAGAAATAGGGATACCTCTACTGCCATGGTGTTAACAGCTATCAGCACTGTTACCTGAGCATTCCAACACTAGATTTTCTTCTATTTCTTGCTGGCTCATTACACCACTTCCTGCTATATCATGATACATTTTCTTCCTCCACACATTCTGATCATTACACTCTACTGGGAGTGGGGATGCTGGACCTCTATCCAATCTGTCTTAGCAAGGTGATTGCAAATTGAATGAGCCTGCCAGGGTTAACCAAGGCATATGTTGTCTTCCCATCTTTCCTTTTCTTCCTTCAGGAAAGCAGTTTGTCTTCTCTTCTTATCTCAGAAAAATTTTCCCCCTGTTTAATAAACAAACCACCAATATGTTTCTCATAGGAGCAAGATGAAGCTTATTTTATCCTCTTAAAATGTCTTCTTCAACCATTGTTTGCTTCATCTTCCTCATGAGATCTACATGACAGGAGAGGGAGAGTGCAAAATTTTAAAATGAGCTCCCTGGTCTCTTTCTGTTGTCAAAAGAGATTGTATTACTTATATATTGCTGCAAAATAACTCAGAGTTTAGCTTAAAACATTTACCTTATATAATTTGTCAGGCTTAGAACTGGGTAGCAACTTGGTTATTTCTGGTAAGGGTTTCATGAGGTAGCAGTCAAGAAGTTGGTTGATCCTACAGCCTGAAACCTTGATTAGGCTAAAGAATTTCTTCCCATACGGTTGGAGAGTTCCAGCGTCACTGCCAGTTGCCCTGTCTGCCTACCCCTGCTGCCCAGAGTCAATGGCACAGATCAGTGCAAATACCCCTGTGCCTAGAGCCTAGCCTCAAAAGCATCACACCACTGTTTCCACAATATGGCTCAAGATATGTAAATATGAAGAGACAAGGGTTGGAGGGGACCATTCTGAAGGTTAATTGTTTCAGGAGTCAAGGGCAGATCTATAAGTTTACATTTACTTCCACTCATAAGATTAAAGCAAAAGATAAACTTTTCACAGTGGGTGTCAGCAGGGAGGAAACAGTCAAGTAGATGTATAGAATGTGAAAAGAGTAAATGATTACTGATCTGGCTAAGAACTAAGTGACTTCACTCATAGAAGCCACCTCTCCTCCCACTGTAATCTAAAATTCTTTGCTCTAGTTACTCACCTTTTCCAGCACCAACCTCTGTGTTTTAAGAAGGAGGTTTTTATGGTCTTGTATAGCAAATGCAAAGCTCTCAACTTGTTGGAGATGGACAGATAGCAAGTGGTTGCCAGACACGGAACTTTGTACCATGTGCCAACTCTGAACCCTTTGCTCACTGTGCGCTGTGAGGATATACACTGAGGAAAGCCAAGTTCTTTATCCCTGTGGAAGGTGTAACCTGCTGAGGAAAGACAGAAGGATCATATACCAAAACTTTACATGTATCTACAGAAGCTAGAACTACTGTAGAGGAGAAAATGTTTAGAAATATGGTAAATAGAAAGTTATTCCTAATTTATATATGGAATAAAGGAAATTCTGATATTAAGCTGGAGTAGAAAACTGATGAAGAATTACTGGGAGGAGGTGCCATTGCATGAGAAAGCAAACTTGAGATTGTCACTTCTGAAGAACTGAAAGACTGGTCCCAGTTTGTTGTTTAGTGCCACATGGCACTGTTGGGTATACCCCGCTCATTCAGTATTTTAAGGCATGGTCTGTCATCAGAAACACTAGCACACTGGGTGTGCTTTTCTCAGTCTGAATACCTCTGATGGAGTCGCTGTGTCCTTCTGCAGTGTGGTCTCTCTGTGTCCACTCTGCCTCTGACGGAGTTTCTGTGTCCATTCTGCAGTGTGTTCTCTCTGTGAACACTTTCTAATGGCTGTCTTGATTCTAGGCACACTCTGCTTTCCTTTCAAAAGAGGAATAAGTGTGGAATTTGAAGTAGCTAAAGAAAATCATGCTTTGCCAAGTACAGTTTCATAATTTTGCAATTTTATATTTGCATATGTACTTAAAATAATCTGTGATCTTTTTATGTTTGTATGAGTTGGTTCATTCTTTCCCTTTAAACAAAAGAACAAGACAGATCATTGTTAAGCCGCCCTCCCTCCTACCCACAACAATTTGTGAAAAAGAGTCTTACTGTGTAAGATTTAAACACTGCGCCCTCCCTCGAACTGTAAGGACAAAAAAAATTGAATTTCAGCTCATAAAAATTGACCTAGAGACTATAGGGAGAAATACAGTTTGTGTAACAGTTCTTGAGATGATCAGTCTCAGCTGGTCATAATGATTTTTCCAGTGTTCCCTGAATAGTTCAAGAAGGTCCAGAAACAAGGGCTTAGAATGGGATTTTATGCCAATAAACATTTTGAAGTGCGTGCTTTTTCAAAGGCTTTAAGAACCTGAGTCTTTATTACCTAGTATCAGCTTTATTCCTCACTGATAAACTCCTGTGTTTATGACTCCTAGAAGCAAGAAGTCCTGCTGACATTAGGGTACCTGCCCCGAGAGATAAGAGCCGCTTGACAATGTCTTGTTCTCAGTATTTCACTGTGGTCTGGGAAGCACACCTTGGTGTCTTCCACTTGTTTTTGTGAGATCTTGTGAGTCTAACTTTGTAGCCCTCTTTGAAGAACCAAAAGGTAGCCATGTATCTCTCTGGTGCTTTTAAAATTGAACAGCCATTTACTGGCCTTCCTGTTTTCAATTCTACCTCTCCTCCACCTTCAGGGTTAGCCAGAGCTGCTTGGTGCTGATTCTCACTAGGAGTCTGCTTGTTTCCAGATGACGTTCCCGTGCACAGAGTGGCTTGGGGTTGTGCCTTCTATGAGTTATGTTTTAGTCAGTGACACTTTTAAAGTTTCAGCTTCCAGAAACTTGCTAATGTGGTTCTCCTGCGATCCATTCCATTCATCTTTGCCCTAGTGAAATATTTCTCCGTCAACAGAGGCCATGCTAGGTGATTCAAAAAGCTAAAGAAGTAAATAAAAGTATTAGTTCCTCCACATTTAACTGGAAAATTCTGTGGTCCCTAGATCACTTGTACTCCCTGAGTGAAGAGGCCCCTGCATCCCTGCCCAGGGTAGATTAAATTGTATAAAAGACTCTGAGAATCAGATTCCTTTCAGAGTATCTCATTTATTTGAGCTTTATCAACTTCTTAGTTTAGGTATCTTTCAAAGGATACTATGTCATGGGAACAGTGACCATATACCTGTTTGTACTTTGCTGTAATAGCTATGAAAATGCCGAGC